TGATTTGCAACAAACTCCATCGCAAACCCCAACTCCAATGGCACACCCTATCCCATTTGAAACAGAGCCATCGCACACCCCAACACCAATCGCCTCACCCCATCGCAGCCAGTCGATCTCACCCCCATCACAAACCCATCTGACCTCAAAATCCTCCCAAAAGCCAAATGATTTCAATTTTGATATGTTTCTGAGTGTTGATTAAGCCAAGGTTTGATTTTAATTTTGAAAAGCTAAGGCTTGATTTCAACTTTGTAAATGTATGGTTCGAACCTGGTTTTACGAAAATAGATGTTACCTTCGGTGGATTACCATCAAAATCGTTGTATTGTTTCAGTGGTAGTCCACCAAATTTGAACTTGGGTTTTACGAAAATAGATGTTACTTTCAGTGGGTACCACCAAAATCATTACCTTGTTTCAGTGGCTGTCCACCGAATGTGTTTCCGTTTTTCAGTGGTACTCCACCGAATTTATTTTCATTTTTCAGTGGTTGTCTAATGAATTCATTTCTTCTTTTAGTGATCATCTACCAAATTCCTTTTTGAGTTTGTATTTAATATTGTTTTTTAGATATGAAGAGCACTCGCAGATGTACTACTGAGGCTTCATCATCTCGACCTGATATACAACGTCCCACAGCCTCAATGAGGAGACATAGAGCGGCGAGCTTAGCCCCACAAGAGAACCAGACCCAGCATGGTCCCCCAGACCACTTTAAGGATACTACAGAGGTTGAAGATGTAACTGCTACTCATGATAGTAATGTTGAGATAGATGCCACGTTAATGATACTAAAAAGGATTTCAGACAAAAAAAACTCAAAATAATTACCGAATGAGTTGTGAATTGATCACTATAGTCCATTATGCATTATGTTTTAACATTGTTGCCTTCAGTAGGGGCATCATCTTGTTTTTGTTCCTTCAATGGGAGTAAGGTCAAAATAGCTTGCATTAAATTTGTGGTCGACAATAAGTTATTGAAAAAATAAATATATTTCGGTTCATTGACACTGAATTGTAAGTAAAAATTTGGTAATACACCACCGAACACCGTTCCATGTTACAGTGGATCTCCACCGCATCTTAAGTTAACGGTAGTCAAACACAACTGAAATAGGTGCAATATTTCGGTGGCATCCTACCGAATTTACCTATCGTGTTCGGTACTGGTGTGCTGAACACAATCATCGACCATCATGAAATCCTAAACTTGAAAAACGCCAAAAAATAAACTCATACCTCATTTAAAGCCTCTCTAACTTCAGTCTCACTCTTCATGAATAAATACAATATATTTTTTCACCAATATAAGCGTATAAAGCTCGTTAGGACTGTAGGAGCATGATGGTTTGAGAAAAAAAGTCTAACTAGGGTTGCAGGAACATATGTGGGGTGTAGTGAGCAATAAATTTTTATTTTAAATGTTTTTGTCGTTAACAATAATTATGTGTAAGAATAAAATAAATTATTCTTGTTTAAAATTAATATGGGGTGCAAAGAGCAAATAATAGGGTGTCAATAAAATCACCAAATAAAAAAAGGAGGTATTGGCTGTAGATGGAGTACTTATAAGGGTGGAAATACAAATATCTAATTATTAAATTAACAGGCACTATATTCCTATACTCTAAATATTTTGCAACAAAAAAAAAATTTTAAATTAGGGATTTTGGCTTAGGCTCACGTGAGACAGAGAGAAAGGGTATAGCCCGTTTCACTGAAGTTCTTCTCCGTAACCACCATAGAGCGTTCTTCTGTTTAGTTCAGGGTTCAAATAAGGTTTCTCTAGGGTTTTGGTCTCTGTGTTCCAAGGCCAGCTTTCCATCTTTGGTTTTGCTCGTGCTGTAATCTCACCATTGAAGGAGGGCTTTGGAATTCTATTGGGCAGTTAAGGAATAGAATACCAACTCGACATCGTTAAGGTTTGGTCACTTTGATTTTTTGATTATTTATCTTTTTTATTGTTCAATTTTAACTAGCAAATTGCTGCTCAAAGTTAGGGTTTTGAATCAATTTGTAGACTTGACTTGTAAAGATTGATATTTTGGAAATTACCCAAGAATAAATGCTACTGTTCTTCAACATTTTTAATTATAGAATTTCATTCATTCCTTTCCCCCCATCCAAACGCACTGTAATTATAGAATTTTCGTGCAGTCTATCTGGAGATGGTTATATATTTTTGTTGTACCTGCAATTCCATAGCTTAATAGTACCTCATTTGAAGCCTCTCTAACTTCAATCTCACCATTCATGAATAAATACAAGATATTTTTTCACCAATATAAGCATATAAAGCTCGTTAGGACTGTAGGAGCATGATGGTTTGAGAAAAAAAGTCTAACTAGGGTTGCATGAACATATGTGGGGTGTAGTGAGCAAATTAAATTTTTATTTTAAATTTTTTGTCGTTAATGATAATTATGTATAAGAGTAAATAGATTATTCGTATTTAAAATTAAGGCTTTTTATCACAAATGGTCCCTGAGGTTTGTGAAATTATCGTCTTTCGTCCTTAACGTTTTTTTGTGACATTAATGGTCCTTAAGGTTATACTTAACACATCAAAATGGTCCCTACTGTCAACTTCCGTTAAATTTTTTGTTAAGAAGCTGACATGGCATACACATCCAATAATATATAGCCACGTGGCTTTAATATATTTAAAAATTAAATTAAATTTTTAAGAAAAAAGAAAAAGAAAATTAAAACTTGATTTTAAATATATAAAAACCTGTCGCCAGCCCACCCCTTCCATCTCCTCCTCTGCCATCTTCTCCCTCTGTTCTCCCTCCCCCTCTCCCTCTGTTATATCTCTCATTCTAGAGCAACGCTGGCAGCCCTATCTTACATGCCTTGAAGAAATTAATTGTAAACTTTGTTACCATTTCTCATTACTGTGGCTACATAGTTGAGCCCAACATACAAGATTTCATAGTTAGTATCCACAGTTCATGTTGAGTACCTGCATCTGGGTTAATGAATCATATGCCTAACTCATGTGTAGCTACAGGTAAACACCAGTTCAACTTCTACCTTCACAACAACTACAAACCATTTCAAGTTCATAACAAAGAGCCATACCCATTTCAGATTTGGACCCCTATGCCTTCCCCAACCTTTGAAACCGATTATGTTCTTGCATCAAATCCCAACTCAGTTCTTTGCTTAGCTGACCATCAACCCCGAATCTGATGAGAGAGAGAAAGAGAGGGGGTGGAGGGAGGTGGATTGGCACAGTGGGGCGATAGGTTAGAAGGAAGAGGGTGAGAGAGAGTTTTAAATTTTTTTATAAAAAAAGTTTTAATCTTATCTTTTTTAAAATTTAATTTTCTTTTTAAATATGTTTATATTTTATTTAAAGCCACATGGCTATATATTATTGGATGTGTGACCTACATATATGCCATGTCAACTTCTTAATAGAAAATTTAACTGAAGTTGACGGCAGGGACCATTTTGCTGTGTTGAGTATAACCTTAAGGATCATTAATGTCACAAAAATACGTTAAGGACGAAAGGCGATAATTTCGCAAACCTCAGGGACCATTTATGATAAAAAGCCTAAAATTAATATTGGATGCAAAAAGCAAATAATAGGGTGTCAATAAAATCACCAAATAAAAAAAGGAGGTATTGGCTGTAGATGGAGTACTTATAAGGGTGGAAATACAAATATCTAATTATTAAATTAACAGGCACTATATTCCTATACTCTAAATATTTTGCAACAAAAAAAAATTTAAAATTAGGGATTTTGGCTTAGGCTCACGTGAGACAGAGAGAAAGGGTATAGCCCGTTTCACTGAAGTTCTTCTCCGTAACCACCATAGAGCGTTCTTCTGTTTAGTTCAGGGTTCAAATAAGGTTTCTCTAGGGTTTTGGTCTCTGTGTTCCAAGGCCAGCTTTCCATCTTTGGTTTTGCTCGTGCTGTAATCTCACCATTGAAGGAGGGCTTTGGAATTCTATTGGGCAGTTAAGGAATAGAATACCAACTCGACATCGTTAAGGTTTGGTCACTTTGATTTTTTGATTATTTATCTTTTTTATTGTTCAATTTTAACTAGCAAGTTGCTGCTCAAAGTTAGGGTTTTGAATCAATTTGTAGACTTGACTTGTAAAGATTGATATTTTGGAAATTACCCAAGAATAAATGTTACTGTTCTTCAACATTTTTAATTATAGAATTTCGTTCATTCCTTTCCCCCCATCCAAACGCACTGTAATTATAGAATTTTCGTGCAGTCTATCTGGAGATGGTTATATATTTTTGTTGTACCTGCAATTCCATAGCTTAATAGATACCGAACGTTTGCACACTGACAAACTAAAACTGAGTCTTTTTGCTACCTTGGCAGTTGATTTGTGGTTGTTGCTTCATATTATTCAGCATGTCGTCCCTAAGGAATGCTATTAGCAGGCGGGCTCACAAGGAACGAGCTCAACCGTGAGCAACCACATTCCCTTTGCTGTTAGACTTTCAGATAATGTTGTTTTGCATCAGATCATGGGAATTAAGTATTTTGTTGTTTAATTTTTTTGTTAGGGAATCGAGGAAAAAATTTGGCCTTCTTGAAAAGCACAAAGACTATGTTGAGCGTGCAAAAGCATATCACAAGAAGGAGGAGACTTTACGGGTAAAATTGTGGTGACTTTGTTGCTTGTCTCCTTGGATTTCATCATTTGTCTGTAATCGTGTAATATAACTTCCAACTATGTCTCTTCTGCCTTTTCACTCAACAGAGACTGAAGGAGAAAGCAGCCTTTAGAAACCCAGATGAGTTCTACTTCAAGATGATCAAGACTCGAACTGTTGATGGAGTCCATAAATTAGAGTAACATAGAACTCTTGTATAATGCTTCACTATCATTTTTCTTTGGCACTTGCTTCTCAAATGACATAGATTGTTGCTACAGGAGTCAGGCAAACAAGTACACTCCAGAAGAGCTCTTACTTATGAAGACCCAAGATATTGGATACATACTTCAGAAAGTTCAGAGTGAGAAAAAGGTTATTAATACTGGTACCAAGAAGCTATGGTTTATCAAGTGGTTTTTTCAGCTTACCCTGTTGGTTATAATTATGCTGTTATCCAATGCAGAAAATTGAAAAGTTGACTGCAACACTCCACTCTCTTGACAATCGGCCTTCAAGTAGACACGTTTACTTTGCTGAAGACAGGTTTGAGCTTCATCCGCTTTTTCTGTCTTTCCATAACATTACTTTGTGAGACAAATCCATTAATCCCTCAGAATTTGAATAGGACTTAGAAACTTTGTCATAATGGAAAGGTTTAAAGCAAAACTATTCTCTTAATATCCAGTTCAATGGATGCAATTTGGCTTTTTATAGTTGTTATTGTTATTTGTCAGTACGTTAATTGACCTGAGAGGATAAGCGAATCTTATTGGTCACAAGTAGATTGCTGAAGTTTTCTGTATTTTTAACAAATGGGATGAACTGCCCTTTGCTGTTATGTCAACCACAATCCAATTCTTTTGCATCTCCGGCCGCATTACGTGGAAAAGACCTGATTATAGGCTGGATTTTTCAAGTATGATTTTAAAAATTTAAACTACAAGTTGGTTTGAGGCCCTACTATCAGGTGCTAGTTGGAGTTGAGAAATTTGGTAGTGTAATAATCTCTCTTAAATTTTTCTTGTTATCATGATATCTTAAGTTTTCTTTTCTTCTATGCCAATTTATCTCCTGAATTCTAGGTAGCTGACTCATGCTTTAAGAAATTCTTGTTATCCTTCAATTTCTTAAATATCATGGTAATCTACCTTTCAATGGTGGATGTGATGCACACTTTTTCCTTCCTGTTTCCATTTTCGTCCTGAATCCTAGGTAGCTCACTCATGCTTTAAGAAATTCTTGTTACCCTTAAATTTCTACAATATCATGGTATGCTACCTTTCAATTGGTGGAGTGATGCACACTTCTTCCTTCCTGTTTCCATTGTTGCACTGAATTCTTGTAGAATGATATTAGTCTTTTGGTTGAGTCTTATATTCTTTTGTCTTCAATGTGCAGGAAAACAGCTGCTTCCTACAGAGAGCTAGAAGCAAGGAGGAATAGAGTCAATGAGTTGGAGAAAATCTATACGGATATGGCAATGCAGAAGGAATTACAGGTATTGACATCCAAATTTCTTTTTCGTACATTTGTTCTTTGTTGTGCACGGAAAATGTTGAAAAAAAAAAAATCCATCTAAATTAACAGAAAAAGGGTAGAAAACGCAAACTGCGGGAAGATGAGATTGTCTGCCCAACATCCAAACCTGTATTCAAGTGGCGGGCTGAGCGTAAGCGTTGAATAGGTAGGTGTTGATCAATGATTAGCTTCTTTTTGTGTCTAGGTCTTTTTGCTTATTTCTCAGCTTAAAAGTGTGTACTTATTGGTGCTATGAAACTTGCATACTCCAGTCTGCATGTTTCTGTGATTTTGCAGGAATGAGGCTGCGCAACTGATGTGCGGCCCTCCAAAGAAGTATGGACCTGATGTAATGCGACTTTTCATGTAACTGGAATTTTGAGCTACATATGAATTTGTACGAGTGATATGATCATAGATTAATATATAATTGCATTTTTGTGACTCTGCCACTCCGAACAGTGGCGTCGTTTATAACAATACTAACAAGCAGTCTACTGTCATTTTTGAGATTTTTCTGATTGACATAATCAGCCATAGTAACTTGTATTTCAATTCAAAATAATCCGTTTCAATATCATTTATTAATTTTTCAAATTGTGAATCTAGTTGGAGTAGGATATTAAACTGATATCATCAGACACGCATGGCAACTTTCTCTACTCTACCAGGCTTTGCATAAGTGGTATTTCAGTGCAATTTGTTTGACAGAATTCTGGCTTTCCATAGTTTTTATTTTTATTTTTTGTCAAGGATACGGTAGCGTAACTGCAAGACATGGGACCAAACAATATATTGGGGTCTACATCATAGTCCCTTCAGTTGCCATATTCTCCCACAATTTAGTGTGGTTTTTATCTTTTAGTACATTGGGGGGAGGGGAGTTTACACAAATATTCATTGAGTGCACGGAGATTTCAAGTGAAAGAGGCTCAACTAGTGTTAGACCACATAAGTTTGTACTTGTAGTGAAGTTTATTGTACTTGTGCGTGCCCCAATTCTTGTCATATACGGAAGTATATCGACTAAAATGAGAGCTGTGTCAGATTTTGGACACAAACTAATGTAATAGATGATGCAATTATATTTCGATTCGCAAAATAAATGAAGTCAAAGTTAACGTGTGTGGATAAGGTAATAACGTAACAAAATTACCTACCAACATAACCAACTTCTGCCGCTTTCGTAGCAAAATAAACAACATCAGATCAGGTACTCATAGTTTCCTTACCCAAATAAAGGTTAACCGGAGAGTGAAAACATTTTCTAAGCATATATTAGGGAAAAAAAAGTATCTGCCTCTTGCTCTTTGAACCTCTCACAATTTGCATAATGTCAGTTTTGTTTCCTTCGATAGTTTAAAAGCAACAAATATCTCCAAGTGTTCAACACATAATGAAAGAGTGAAAGATCAGAAAACAGTACATAGCTGAAGAATCATATGATGCTCAAATATTGAAGCACTGTCATTAAGTATTTAAACCCACAAAGAACACGTTCGAAAAATAAAGGCCCAAAAATATAAAAAAGGAAGCAAAAGAAGTTCCCACAATCTCTTCTATTAAGAAGCTAGTAGAAGATGATTATATTCACAAACACTACTACCTACAACCCTAACTCTACCCCAACTACAATTCCAGAAACAGAGACTCAATAACCTACTTGAACCTACTAGTGGAAACTATATCTGAATCAAGCACATTGACCCCC